ATGGGATAAAACACGATGCAATGAATTCAATTCTCTCGACCTAAACCTTTACTGGCCAGACTGGATCCTTTTCCCATCAGCGGCACATCCAAAATATACTGCTAACCTCATAAATCCAAGGGGCTTAATTGACCAACATACAGCTTGTCTTTCTGTTCAACTTTACCAGGACGGTGATATCAGTGTAATTTACTGGCTCTTGCCAGCTGACATTTCATATGTGCCACTCCAGACGGGACTTCCTGTGATTTTTGTTGTTGTTTCCCATCTGGGGCCCTGTTTGGGGGTTTAAAAAACAAAACAATAGACTGCCCGCCCCCTAACAAGCATGTTGCAAAAAGTGACAAATTAGGGGGCGTTGCCTTTGAAGCTGGAGTGCATCTGCCTGAGAACAGAGGAACTAACAGTCTTTGAAGTTTGAGTGCATCTGCCTGAGAACAGAGGAACCAACAGTCTTTGAAGTTGGAGTGCATCTGCCTGAGAACAGAGGAACCAACAGTCTTTGAAGTTGGAGTGCATCTGCCTGAGAACAGAGGAACCAACAGTCTTTGAAGCTGGAGTGCATTTGTCTGAGAACAGAGTAACCAACAGTCTTTGAAGTTGGAGTGCATCTGCCTGAGAACAGAGGAACCAACAGTCTTCAAAGTTGGAGTGCATCTGCCTGAGAACAGAGGAACCAACAGTCTTTGAAGTTGGAGTGCATCTGCCTGAGAACAGAGAAAGTTTCATTAAAATGCAAAACCTAGCAGCCTTAAGTAAATATTGAAAAAAGAAAAAGACAGAATATCTGAGGCAGCATGAGGTAATAAGACTGACAGACAGGAAGAATAAAGGCAGGAAAGGAAGACAGACAGCAGGAACAAACAATCGTAACAACAGAAGGTGCAGTTGTCTGCATAAGAAATCATAATGGAAAAATCAATAACAAGTATAAACTACAGCAGCAAAAATGTCTTCAGAACTTTAACAACAAAAAAAATAAAAAAAACTATCTATCTCAATGATAGCTTTTTATAGATTGAACAAGATAATATAGACATTAATAAGCAAGCACAACAACAGGTACAAATAAATTAACATTTATGAGAAATATAAAAAAAAATTTTTTTATGTCATGAACGCATCAGAATTTACAAGAAACAAAACAAAATTAGATGTTCGAGTAAAACATTCTGTTGGTTCACCAAATATTAGATGCCATTGATAGATAAAGATTTATAAAAACACTAGAAATTTAGATTTATAAATTACAATTGATAGAAAAATCAATATAACAGCTGTTATAAAACTGTTAAAAAACAGCATATTCTCATTCTTTCATTCTTCTTCTTAAGCATTCCCAGTCCTCTTATTTCACTGCTGTAGATATCAAGCCCCCCCCCCCCCCACCTCTCATTTCTTATGGGTCTACTCTTTCCCAAACGAGATACCCAGTGTTTGTGGGTTCGCCTATATATTATCTCGCAACTCACTTTTCGGTTTGCCTTGCTGTCTACTCCAGGTGAGATATGCAGTTTTTGGTGTGCAAATTAACAGTGATAACTAACAGCTAATGAGCTCTGAACAGGTTTGAACAACGGATCAACATCATGGTACACGGGTAGTAACCCATAAGTGCTCCGTTGTTCTTCGAACTCAACTCAGCACAGTGAACAGGCTCTGTAGCACCGGCGAAGATCCTGATATACTTTGGGTAGATTTTTAACTCCAAATTTTGCCCGGGCAGCACCGTTAGGCTACTCTTTTCGATTTTCAACTACCAAGAGATTTGATATACTTTGGGTAGATCTTTAACTCCAAATTTTGCCCGGGCAGCACCGTTAGGCTAGTCTTTTGGATTTCCAACTGCCATAAGATTTTATTTTAATGTGCACAACAATGCACACAGGTGTCTGATCTCACTACCAAAAGACCAGAGGGAATTACTAGAAGTCTAAGTCCATGTTAAAAAATAACAGCCCTTACCGGGGATTGAACCCGGAACCTTTAGCACTCGAGGTGGACACCATGCCTCCAGACCACGCAGCCCCCTTAACAGCTAATAAAAATCAAAACTATCTATTTTACAAGAGATAATGTTTTAAACAAAAAGCTGTGCAAATGAGATGTTATAACTAATGCACAACTGATGCAAATGTTTAAATTCAAGTGTTAAGAATAAACGTCAGTCCCATAAATAATATGTCACAAAATATAGACAAATGATGGTGAGACAAATGGTGAAATTGGTATATATAACTGAGAATAAAAGTAAGTCCCATAAAAAATATGTCAAAAATATATACAAATGATGAGACAAATGCTGAAATTTCTTCAATGTAGGCGACATGTTTTGTGACTGAACATAAGTCATTTTGTTCCTGCAAACTCTCTCCATAACCCTCCAATTCCTTTACAAACACAGCCAGATCTGACTGTCTGTCCGTCTCTCAAGGTAATATACAGTTTCTTACAGCCAAAGCAGAAGACATTAAATCAGGAAAAAGATAGTAGAAATGTGGAATGTATGGAAAATAATCGTTTGTTCAGAGTTGAAAGTCTTGACAAGATTAAATTAGTTGCTGGTTCTGTTAAATACAAATCTTCTCAGTTGGTCCAATTTATTGTTGATTGCTGTTTAAATATAAGAACCACAGCAGTGACAAAGTTAAAGAAGGAGAGACAAAATGGAGATGGGAAGACAAGAAGACATGGAAGACAGAAGAAGGGAATGCACAGAAGGAAGTGTGGAAGAAAAAGACATGCAGAAAAATAAATAACCATTATGAATTTAGATACAAACATTCATACTTGTGAAAAACTTCATCTCATCAAAAAGTGACATGCACGAAATGGGAAAATAATAAATGTCAGGATATCAGTTCTAAAGACTGGGCAACAATATCTGATCTATAAAAGCAATAGCAAAACAAGCACTCAAGGAAAAGCTATGCAGCTCAGAAGTGAACCTCTGACAACCAGAGCATAGGATAAATGACACTAACCACTTGACCATGGAGGTCTGCTATGCAGCACCTTAATCCTTTTTCTTCTAGTTACAGCAGTTTGCAAATGAGATCACTTGATTATGAGATTAAATATTTAAAATTAAACTGGAGGATCAAGAAAGGTTGTTTGTTGTTTGTTTTAGTATCCAGAAGCCATGAGTTGTTAACCCTTAGGCTCGGTATTATGGATATCGCAACCTTTCGGCCTTGATTCCATTGTAAATACCATAAATCTGAGAGAAAATGTGGCTTTCCTGCCTACCCCCGGGATTGAACCCGGACCACAAGGAGTACGTCACCCGGTCTCCGCGAAATCCGGTTTAGCCAATTCCGCTAGAGAGCCGGGCATCAAGAAAGGTAAATTATGTTACTGAGTCAATAAACCATTCACAGTGTCCAATTTATTAAAATGAGTCGGGTTTGCTGTAGTGTTGGTGGGTCATTATCCACAACCCACCTCTGATGGTTACTTCATAACTGTTGGGTGTCCTAGTGTAATTGGTAGACAGGATGTCTGGGACTGGATTTTCATGTGGCTAGTGTCTCCTTGAGTCACCGGGTGTTAACCATATGGTATCTGGGTTAACCTGGGTAAAGGTTCGACATCACAGCATTGAGGACAAGCCCATATTAGCTCCGTCTCCCTCCTCAACAGCCAGTGAAGACTCTCCATACTGATGGTACCTGTGGTCATCTGGTTAACTGCCCGTCTAACCTCTGCCTTGAGTCTTGGGTAGTTCTCAGAGCCTGCAGACGCTCTCCATTGCATCATTCTCTTCAGATACGTGTTTTATAGACCCACTGCCTACCCAAAAGCATGTCGTAAGAGTCAACTAACTGGGAGCTTGCTTTGACGTCGGAATGCATCTGCCTGAGAGGCAAGGAACCAGCTGTCTGCATACAAATGAGTCAGATCTGTAAAACAGATGCACACACAACACTCAAGTTCTGGTACAGGACTGCAGTCCAGAAGTGGATGAACAACCAGAACTTTCCAGAGTTTATAGCTAGTGAATGCAAAGAAGAAGAATAAGATACGTTTTCAGTATCTTTCATTTTATTTATGACCCTGTCCCACAGGCAAAATCATTTAGTATGCAATCCCAGAGGGGGGAGTTTTTTTTTTTCAAATGTAGTGTTGGTCCAATTTTGTGAGCTTTTCCAGTTTTAGGTTTAAGTAAAAATAAAAAAACAATGTTTTTTAAAAAGTTAACCACGTTCAACCTACAACAAGCAGTTCTGGTTATATTTGCGGTCTGGTTTGTGTGTGCTGAATGTAATGCCTTTAACAGTTTGTATGTCATTACAAAGGGTTAAGTTTAAAGCTGCTGTTTTGTTACACAAATTTATAAGGGTTTCACTGCAAGTTTTTTCTTTTAGAGTAATTAAAAATAACATTGTTAATGTCACCACTGGTGCTTGATTATTTTGAATATTTCTTTTTACCAGGCGCTGACATGTCAAGGACTTCTTGAACAGAAAAAGTGACCACGATGTATATAAGAGTTTTTGTGTATCCATTGGACCATGTCTTCATGTGAAGTTGCATAGATAGGAAATATTAGTTTTCGTTTCACCCTTTCAGTCCCAAAGACTACATCACATGTTCATAGGCATGAAGCCTAATGAATGGCACCCACAATGCCTGAGAACACAGGCACCCACAATGCCTGAGAACACAGGCACCCACAGTGTTTGACTCTGACTGCACAATTCAAAACACTACAGCAGGGCTATTCAACTAAATTTGCTCAGGGCAAAAATTTTGAAAATTGGTATCGCCACGGGCCAGAGTCTCACACCGTAGCATAAACAGCCCATTAATATACTACAACTGACAATGATTTGCGGGCCACTTGCTATGCCTTCGCGGGCCAGATTTGGCCCACGGGCCGCCAGTTGAATAGAACTGCACTACAGGACCTCGCTTAAAACAGCAGGTCCGAGGAATCACTGGTAGACCACGTGTTTGTGTCATCTTCTTCTGATGGTCTCAGCATCTGTTTGTCTGGGTCAACTTCTGCTTCCAGGGTAGCAGCTGGCTTCGGCTCTTCTGCAAGAATGGCTCCAAATTCGTATTCTTGTTGGAAACGGCCTCGATAAGACTGCAGGACTTCCTGTGAACACAAGACCATACACATCTGTAAACCAATGGAAGCCAGTCACCAATGATGACAACAGCTGAGAGTATAAGAGAATTGCTAGGAAACTTCTTCTTCTTCTTGGTATTAACCGGTTGTAACCTCTAGCAGAAAGTTCTGGTTGTTTGTCCATTTCTGGACTTTGGTCTTGTTCCATAACTTGAGTACCACGTGCATTTCTGTTTTACAGAGCTGGTTTTATTTGTATACAGACCGTTTTCTGCCACTCAGATTCACTCTGACTCTAAAAGCAACAACCCTAGCTGGTGGACATATGACATGCTTGTTAGGGAGCAGTGCCTTTTTTTATTTTAAAATATTTTTTTTTTAAAATCCCCACAATGGGATCCCGGAACCCACATGGTGATGCCAGGGGGAAAAAAGACATTTAAAATTGCTGGATAATATTTGTCAGCTTTACAGAAATCATGACAATAAACAAGATCACTGGCTTGCAATGTCTCACTGTTTCAGTCTTGGCCTAACTGCACAACAATGAAGACATTGTTCATCTTCTTGGCATTCACCAGCTATAAATTGTAGTGGAAATGTTTGGTTGCTAATCCATTTCTTAACTTTAGTTTTGTTCCAGAACTTGAGCTATGTGTGCACATCCATTGTGCAGAAATGACTTATCTGCATGCAGATTATTGGTTCCTCACCTCTCAGGCAGATGCACTCCTGCTTCAAAAGAAACATCCCTAATTAGTTGACTCTTACAACATGCTTGTTATGATGAGTGCAGCAGATCTGTTCATTCCCCCATTTTTTCCCTCCATAATGGGAGCCCGGAACCCACACAGAAAAATTAAAACAGTTTATGAACTGAAGAATATGAACACCAACTGACAATGGCTGATTACTTTAACCAAGACAAACAAATCAATGATGACATCATTCTAGAAGGAGAAAATCCAGCAGTTAGGATGACATATTTGACAACCTCTGCCTTACTGGCTTGCCTAAGTGCAGAGAAAGGTTCACCTGTTTGATGCACTGTAAACTTCAATTTTGCTTGGATGGTACAGAACGAGGTGATAATATGACTGGATATGATAAAACTCCAGTGAGATAAATGTATCTATATTAGTGTAAATATTATGTTGACAAATACAGACAATGAAGAAGGAAGAGAAAAGTCGAAATAAGATGAAAAAGAAAGAGATGAGCAGAAGATAAAAAAAAGAAGAAGCAGCAGCAGCAGCAGAAGAGGAAGAAGAAGAAGAACAGAAGGAAGCAGAAGAGAAAGAAGAAGATGAAGGAGGGGGAGAAGGAAAAGAGAAGACGGGAAAAAAGAAAGAAGAGGAGTTGGTGAAGAAGAGGAGGAGGAGAAAAAGAGGAGGAAAAAATGGGAAAAGAAGGAGAAGAAGAGGAAAACGAGAAGGAGAAGTAGAGGAGGAGAAGAGGAGGGAAGGAAAAAAAGGAGCAGGTTGAAGTAGAGAAGCAGCACTGACCAGAATGAGCCAGGCCAGTGTTAGATTTCAACAAGCTGTCACTGTCCGAGGCTGCCGGAGTCAAATAGACATCAATCTCAACATCATCTGATGACTCTCCAGACTCCCCGTTGACAGCAGAGAACTCCTCCAGGATGAGGATCTCTTCCTTCTCATGGGGGTGCTCCTGCAGGTAGCTTTCCAGGGCCACTTCTTCACTTGGGTACTCGAAAGTTTCAGTAATGTTGTGACTGAAGTGAATGCTTATCTGAAACAAGGACAAGAAGAGGATACATTTCAATACAGTGCAACTCCCTGTGGGGGTTCTGGAGCTCCTTTGTGGAGAAAACAAGAATAGACCTACTGCCCCCCCCCCCCCCCCCCACAGAAAGCAGGTGGTAAAACCTGTCTAATCTGGGGTGTTTCCTTCTAACTCAGAGTGCTTCTGCCTGAGTGGCAAGAAACCAATAGTCTGCACACAAATAAGCCAGATCTATAAAATGGATGTGATGTAAAATTCAAGCTCTGGAACAAGACCAAGTCCCAAAGTGAAGGAACGACCAGAACTTTCTGCCAGGGTTTACAGACAGTGAACGCTAAGAGGAAGAATAATACACAGCGACTAAGCGAACAAGGAGCTGAAGACAAAATGCAGTTGGAGTAACACAGAGGTTTGGCGGTTTGGTCTTAGTAAAACATTACATGTATAGAGACCTGAAAATCAAGGAAAATTGGCTCATAAACAGCATACTGCCTCATCAGAAACTCAAATAACTTTGGCTATATCAAACATCATGGTGGATAAGAAAAAAACAGTACCAGAGAGTGTGGTACCAGACAAGAGGGGTAGGTAGGAATAACCCAGCATAAAGATAAGAACAGGACATAACAGACACACTGGGTAGGGATAAACCAGCATGAAGATAAGAACAGGACACAACAGACACACTGGGTAGAGATAAACCAGTATAAAGATAAGAACAGGACATAACAGACACACTGGGTAGGAATAAACCAGCATACAGATAAGGGACATAACAGACACAGATATAAACCAGCATAAAGATAAGAACAGGACATAACAGACACACTGGGTAGAGATAAACCAGCATAAAGATAAGAACAGGACATAACAGACACACTGGGTAGGAATAAACCAGCATAAAGATAAGAACAGGACATAACAGACACACTGGGTAGGAATAAACCAGCATAAAGATAAGAACAGGACATAACAGCATAAAAGCATAAAGATAAGAACAGGACATAACAGACACACTGGGTAGGAATAAACCAGCATAAAGATAAGAACAGGACATAACAGACACATTGGGTAGGAATAAACCAGCATAAAGATAAGAACAGGACATAACAGACACACTGGGTAGGAATAAACCAGCATAAAGATAAGAACAGGACATAACAGACACACTGGGTAGGAATAAACCAGCATAAAGATAAGAACAGGACATAACAGACACACTGGGTAGGAAAGTGCATGAGGCAGCAGAGCTGGCGAAAGACCAAGTTTCATTCATGTAGGATGTGATGAGAGCAACATTCTGTAAAGGGACTGCTATAAAATTATGAAAATATGACTTCCACTTTATGGTAACCTCCATAAATTTTGTCCTTCTATTTTCGTCCAATATGACACAACGAGAATCCCAGCACAATATACCAACTACATACTGCCAGGAAAGATCCCAGTGTGCGCATTATTAGAATCACACATGCTACAAGTATTCTTATTTGCAAACGCGCGCGAGCGTGTGTGTGTAGGTAGCTTTTTAATTATTGATATGCAGCCTGTGCAGCAGCTAAACACTTTTGAGTACTTCTCACAAACTGGCCCGCATGACTGAGTTCCTTCCCCTCCCATTCATGCTGCAGCTGGTTGTGCCGCCTGTCGTATGTTGTGGCGGTGTCGTGTGTTCCTTATTTTTAATGGTTTGACCTTTTGTTTCTAGTGTTGTCACTGCTCACTTGCGTGATTATTTACACATTGTGCTCCTTGTCCAACGGTTTGTGAGTATCAAAACAGGGATTTGTGTATTTCTATGTTCCTTGTCAGTGGCTTCTTTTTCTGGGGGGGGGGGGGGGGAAGCAACTGCCAAGGAACGTAGAAATACAAAAACATTCCATTTTTGATACTTACAAACAATCGCGCCTTTGGCTGTACCACCTGCAACACTTCTTACTTGTATACTGATGCCTCAAAGAGACATGATATAACAACAAATTTTTGAGCGTGCATGCTGTTGGATTTGCTTAGACTGCAGACGGTGTCAAATTCTTGTACACAAGGGACAACACTCTGTGTGGTTTTCATTAGTATAGTAACAGAGCAACTATAGTGGTGACCTGTTTGCGGTGAAGCTTGAACTGCTACTGCCTGATTACATGTAGATCACCTTCTTAGTTTTAAACAAGATTGCTGTCTTCAAACCGTCAATGATCGGCTGTTGTGGATCGCCATAATTTTCAGTCCTCCACCTTGATGGTGTTGAGTAATATTCTTTTGGTTGAGGTCAACAAGACATCTAAACAGACTCAGATTTGCCGCACGAATCAAACTATAGGCAGTGCTTCCAGCAACATCTTGAAGCACCGCTTCGTAGTGGTGTAGCCTATCAACTGGCTGGATATGGCTAACAGTTTTCGTCATGTGGGTTTCAGGTCCCATTGTGGAGGGAAAAACATGAACAGACCCACTGCCGACCCCAACAAGCATGTCTAACAGTCGACTAACTGGGGGCTGATTTCGAAGTCGGTGTGAATCTGCCTGAGAGGCAAAGGAGCCAACTGTCTGCTCACAAATACATATCTGTGAAATGTTTGTGCACACAACACTCAGGTTCAGCAACCAGGCTGGAGATGGACGAAGACCCAGAACTTTCTGCCGGAGTTTACAGCCAGTGAACGCGAAGAAGAAGAGAATAACGTTCTGAGGGTCTTCATGCTTCTATGGAGAAGGGACTATCAGTACGTCTTGTACAGCCCACTGGTATATAAACAGAAAAGCCGAAATGCCATAATGATAATGAAACAGTGTCTATGCGATTGGTTGAAAGTAAATTCTCAATTTACACCCACGTTATTCCCACAAATTCATAATTTTTTCAAGGTTGAGATAACCTACATGCCAACACATAAAAAACGATGTTGCAGGGGATTCTTCCAACCATATCAGGGTCAGGGGTTACCGATCACGGATGTGTGCAACACACTTGGCCAGACAGAAGACTGGTGTGTGTTTGTGTGCAGGCCACGCCCATTCGGGAAATGTATAACAAGTGAAGTAGGCTTGCACTTCCGGCTCTGCAGACCTACACACGCCGCCGTCATACATTGTACAGTGTGGTTGTTTTAAACTCATAATTTCAAAATCCCACATCTGGGTAGTTAGTTCCACCTCGTTTACCCACCCACACAGGAGCTTCCGGGTCGACCCTACCAAAATTGGGGGTATTAAGTGATACGTGTGTCAGAACCTGGAGTTTAGATCATTGCTGCTCTCCCCTCCACCACCCCCATTTTTTTTTTCTGTGAAAAATTGAAAGGGATCTAGGCGGCCCTCCCCTTCCTCGCACTGAAGTTCTCTTTTGAAATATGTTATAAATAAGTTATAATTGTAATCTTCTCACCGAAGAAGTGAAGCTCAAATAAACTCATTTTGAAAGATCTTCTTCTTGGCGTTTACCGGCTGTAAACTCCAGCGGAAAGTTCTGGTTGTTCGTCCGCTTTCGAACTTCAGTCTTAAGTTTTACGTGCAAATCCGTTTCAAAGATCCAGCTAATTTGTATACAGGACTGTTGGTTCCTCATCTATCATGCAGATGCACCACAACTTCGAAGGAAAACACAGTCAGTCGCCTTGTAGGATATGGTTGTTACGGAGCAGTGAATGTATCGACCCCTCCCCCCTCCAGTAGGACCCCGGAACCTATACGGGAAATTCTTAGCCCCGTTGCCGGGAAAATGGATTCCTTTCTTGACGTATGTTTGTTTGTTTGTTTTAGTATCCAGAAGCCATGAATTGTTAACCCTTAGGCTCGGTATTATGGATATCGCAACCTTTCGACCTTGATTTCATTGTAAATACCGTAAATCTGGAAGAAAATGTGGCTTTCCTGCCTACCCCCGGGATTGAACCCGGACCACAAGGAGTTCGTCACCCGGTCTTCGCGCAATCCGGTTTAGCCAACTACGCTAGAGAGCCGGGCTTGCTTGACGTATCGAATTAACAAAGAACGGTATCAAACAATCAAGTGTTATCTCCACAATGACGGACGTTGCAACAAGTCGCAAAAGTCCACACCAGCCCCCCCCCCCCCTCTCCTCCTCATCGGTCTCTATCACTGTGCTGATTTAGTCATAAGCTAACTAAGCTACTCGTGGCTTAGGCGTTGCGAGTCCAACTCGTAATTCCAACGTACCGTGATCGAAACCCACTGCTGGCTGCGTGGATTTTCATCGTGGTATGAGGCGTCGCCGGTCGACCCAGCCTTAATGGTTACCAGGATGGATGTTCTGGGGAAGTAAAGACGGCCGTCGTAATGCTGACCATATTACCCACCTAGTGCCGATTGGTCTGTAAAAATAAGGTGTGCTTGTGCCACATGCCCGATGTGCCTAAAGGCGTGAAAAGGGATGTTTACTTTACTTTTTTTACCTTTAACTAAGCTACAGTTGAGGGCCTGACAGTCTCCAGCAGCCTCTGCCAATTCTCATTGTTTTCCCCCTATTTTTTCACCAAATGCAATTTTCTTTCAATAGAGCCTTTTAGGGGATTGTATAATTTATGCGCTACTTTTTTTTTTTTTTTAACGTATCCAGAAACCATGAGTTGTAAACCCTTTGGCTCGGTACTATGGATATCGCAACCCTTCGGCATTGATTCCATTATAGGTACCGTTAATCTGGGAGAAATGTGGCTTTTCTGCCTACCCCCGGGAGTGAACCCGGACCACAAGGAGTTCGTCACCCGGCCGCGGCGAAAGTCAGGTTTAACCAACTTCGCTAGAGAGCCGGGCATGTGCTACTTGAAAGTATAGTTCCATCATCCTTATGTTTAAAAGGTGTATATATTTTAAAGTTGACCGAACTTAGCTGGTGTCATTTATGACAGTAAAGGCCCAGTGTTTTATTTAGCTCCAGGTCTCATAAAGATGAAATCTGGCCCTGCACCACTCTCTGAAGAAAGTATAACCACTGTGATCATGTGAAGCTCCATCCAAATCCAACTGCAGGTTGCAGTACATCCTAG